CAGGTTCCTGATGGTTCCAAACACATCTGATAATATTATCAGATACTACATTTATATAAAGCAGGCCCCCATGGTTTGCAGCTTTTAGAGATTTGTCTGTAAAATCGGGCATGTTGGGGATCCGGATTGCATATTACCACATCATTTTCCCATTGGATTTTAACCCAAGTATCTGATTGGTTTCCAGTGTCTGGGTAGGTTAAATATTAACTCACCATTGACTGACCACCATGTGGATTAAAGGATGGAAGAGGTTGAAGTGGTTGGAACTCCACTCATCCACTGAAAAACTGATCATTAATTTACTGAGCAGCTGAAGTGAATGTAGAAGATGGAGGCAATCACAAGCTGATGGATGAAGAACCCAATTATGTTGAAAAATGTGGGTTATATTCCAGTGTTTGGAAACCTTTACAACTACAAGGACCCACTTGGGTTGTCAGAAAGCATTTTAGTTAACTCATCAGGTCAGCAAAGGTAGAATTGCTTCCTCAACAGGCATCTAAATACATCATTGAGATACATACAGGTTGGCACAATGGCTCAGTGGTTAGCACTGCTGCCTCATAGCACCAGGGACCTGGGCTAGATTCCAGCCTTGGGTGCCAGTCTGTGTGGAGTTTGCACTTTCTCCCTCTGTCTGTGTGGGTTTCCTCCGGATGCTCTGGTTTCCTCCCACAGTCCAAAGATGTGCAGGTTAGGTGGATTAGTCACGCTAAATTGCTGCATAGTGTCTCAGAATGTAGTAAATATGGGGTCTAGCCATGAAATATGTGAGGTTACTGGGATAGGGTGGGGGCTGAATCTGACAGGATACTCTTCAGAGGGTCAGTGCAGGACTTGATAGGCTGAACTGCCTCTATCCGAACTGCAGGCATTCAATAACATTATTCCCATGAAAGTAGCAAAGTGTTGATTTTTGAGATAGCGTGTCCCTTTGGCCCAAATGGGAAACTCATGTTTATGGTTTACCATTGACTAATACCTGTAAGCAGAATGGCATTTCACAGTCCCCAGGCTGCCATTCCCACTTTTCACCCCTAGTCCTCATGATCACAGCATCCAATTAGCAAATATGCATCCCTCCTGCAGATATAGGAGCCATGTTTTCCACTGGAGGAGAAGGCTTCACTAATGTGGCACTTAACAGTGCAATTGTCTTAGTCTCTGATATGGAAAAGAAGGAGCTTAGCACATTTGCATGAATGCCTGTGCATTCTTCACTCTTTTTCAGCTGACCCTTTCCTGAAAAGATATCTACACACGTATCTGATTGAGATAAGCTACCGAAAGAAAGCATGATTAAGAACACAAGAAATCGGAGCATGAATAGACCATTCTGCCTCTCAAGCCTGCTGCACCATTCAACACAATCATGACCGATCTTGAGATTCAACTTCACTTTCCTGCCCTCTCCCTTGTATCCCCGAGAAACCAAAATCAGTAGATCTCAGTCTTAAATATATCCAGTAATGGAGCATCTACAATCCTCTGGGATAGAGAATTCCAAAGATTCATAATCTTCTGAGTGAAATAACTACTCTTCATCTAAGTCCTGAATGAGCAGCCCATCAACCAGGTTTAGACACCCCAGACAAGTTTGAACAATTTCTCCATCTCTGCTCTGGGAGAGTTCCTTCCACAGATGACAAGGACATAGGAGGTAGCAGAGAATGGTCTCTGCCCATTCTGACAACGTTTGCCATCATTCCCATCACTGACCCCTCACAGTCTGCAGTCCAGGGACACCCCCTTGGAGAGTGAGGAAGGGGAACTGGATTGATGCAGCTGTGGAAACAAAGACCTCTTGTGGTAAATTGGAGGCTTTGGGCTTGTTTAGGCCCTAGCTTAATGATGGTGTTGGAGGTCAGGATGTAGAGACACTCATGGAAGATCTGCCCAGCGATGGAATCCCTCTGCCTGACCCAGTACCACCCGGAAGCCCAGCTGGAAGGGATGCGCAGGAACATCTGGAGCATTCTTCAGGAAATCCAGGTGAGGCTAACAATTTCATGTGGAGGCATGGATGGCAACAGCCGCCACCCACAGATTCAATGTCAACCAGTTTGCAAATCACTGACCAGCATTGCTAAAGGAAGCCCTAAAGTTGATTTTCTCACAGGGGCGTAAACACACCTGCTCCTACACAGCCCATTTCCCAGTGATTCCAGGTGATCAGAATCTCATTCCAAGGGACCTATTTTGATGTGGGGCATCAAAGGCCATGCCTCTCATGGGGAATAGAAGAGCCTCTGTATCAATCTCCCCAGGACCGTTGATCAATCCCAAAGTAAGAGTGGGGCAGGAGTTGTCCATTGGCAGTCCTTAGCAAAGAATCAGCTTTCACTTCTTCTTTCCCTCTGCAGATGTTAAACAACTGCTTTGCTTCCTCAGCTTCTTCTAGTTATACCAGACAAGAAATTGCCTGTCACTGGAGTTTGCAAATAGTCCAACACCTCTCAATGTTGCCACAAACACTTCCAATGCCTTCCCCCTGAATCTCTGAAGTGTTTGAGGGACCCACTGGATTCCTGAGGGGCCTGGGGTTATAAACTGATTTCCATAACCACTGACATGCCCACTCATCCCATCTGTGAAAAGGGATAGGTTTCTGCTCTCACCCTCATCAGCTTGGTGCCAACTCTCCTCACCACAATATACAAATTAATCAATCAGATCTTCCGTTCTCCAGATCATCGAACCAAGTGGGAATTGCCCAGGAGGTTTAGACTTCTATTGAGAATCAAAGACAGGGAGCAGTTCTCTGACACTGATCTGGATAGTTACCCAGGGAGAGTTAGACAGATTTAAACTAAGTCTAACTGGTGGGTAACCACACAACAGAATTCACACAAATCTCAATCACTATCCCCACCACCACTCTATCAATTTTTTCAAGTACCCACCCTGACCACCTTAGCCACATCACCCCCTCACTTCCCCACCCACCTCACCACCCACCTCTCATTTTCTGAAGAAGTGTCCCAACCCGAAACGTCAGCTTTCCAGCTCCTCTGATACTGCCTGGCCTGCTGTGTTTCTCCAGCTCCACACTGTGTTATCTCACCTCTCACTCACCTGCTCACCCATCTCACTCTCACTCATCTGTTCATCCACCTCATCCTCTGACCCACCCACCTCACCCTCTTACCTACCTACTAGCCTATGTCATAAAAACCAAAAGAACTGCGGATACTGTAAGTCAGGAACAAAAACAGAACTGAGGAAGGGTCACCGGACCCGAAACGTTAACTCTGATATTTCTTCACAAATGCTGACAGACCTGCTGAGCTTTTCCAGCAACTCCTATTTTTGTTATTCACCTACCTCTCCCTTTCACTCACCACACATCTATCTCACCCACTCATTTACCCACATACCCACCTCACCCTCTCATTCACCCACACACCCATCTCACCCTCTCATTCACATGCATACCCACTTCACCCTCTCACTTACCCACACATGCACTTCACCCTCTCACTTATCCACATACCTACCTCACCCTCTCACTCATCTACACACCCATCTCACTCTTTCACTCACCCACCTCACCCTCTCACACACCCATCTACCACCACTGATTCTGGAACATTCTGTGTCGCCATGCAAGATTCACAGATTAACTGTGTGATTCTGAAACATTCTGTGTGCATTCCCAGGTATGAGGAAATGCTGATTATCACTGGGAAAAGGGAACTGCTGGATTTGAGAGCTGGAAGCCCCAAACATTCAATTGGTGGATTTATCATGCATTCCAGAACCGGAAGAAAATATACATCCACAGTTTCACATCTGGCTCTGTGCAGTTCAACTAATTCCAGAATTTACACCATTTCTGCAGCTACCCTGTTCATTTTAATTTAGTCTCAGCATATGGGCGTCATATCATGATATGAAAGGCCCATCCCTAGTTACCCTGAGCAGGTGGTGGGCATCTTCCCATTGTCAGGTCATGCCCTTAAATATATCTGTCACGGGGAGCAGTCATCACTGGCAATTCCAGCATTTGTTGTCCATCCTTAAGAGGGACTGCAGCAGAGATTCACAAGACTGATACCAGGAATGGAAGAACTGTCCTATGAGGATAGATTGGTTCAGCTGGGCCAGTATTCACGAATGTTTAGAAGGATGAAAGGGGATCTGATTAAAATGTATAAAATTCTAACTGGACTAGATAGACTACATGCAGGGAGGATGTTTTCCCAGGTTGAAGAGTCTAAAACCAAAGGAGGATTGAGATAAGAAAACATTTCTTCACTCAGGGAGTAGTGGATTTCTCTACCATAGAAAGCAATGTGGCCACATCTCTGGAGAAAGATTTTAGTTTTAAAGGCATCAAGGGCTATGGAGCGAAAGTGGAAGCATCTCATTGAGAAAAAAGATGAATCATGATGCTATTGATTGACAAAGCAGGCTTGAAGAGTTGGATGGCCTAGTTCTGTAACAAGAGCAGAAATTGCTCGAGAAACCCAGCAAGTCTGGTAGCCATCTGTGGAGAGAAATTAAGGTTAATGTTGAGTCCAGCGACCCTTCTTCAGAACTGATAGCAGCTGGGAAAAGGTAGTCCTTATCTTGATGATATGGGATGCTGGAGAGGGGAAAGTATGAGCTGATATGTCAAGACATAGCCCAGAAAGCCTACACCTGCTCCTAGTTTTAATGTATCTAATTTCCCTAGAATTGAGTGGCCTGCTAGCTTGTCTCAGAGGCCAATTATGAGCCAACCAAAATTGCTGGAGTCACATGTAGGCCAGACTGAATAAAGATGACAGATTTTCTTTCCTAAAGAACATTAGTGAATGGGATGAGTTTTAACAACAATCGCTAGACGTTACATGGTCACCATTGCTGAGAATAGCTTTACATTCTAAATTTGCAGCTTAGGACCGAAAGCAAAATTTGACTGGCGGTGGTCCCACGTCAGTGCTTTCTTGACAATAGCAGTCATGACTGTAAGAAGAGCAATCAAATAACCTCTGTGAGTCAGTGAGGGCTGTAATGGCAGATATAGCAGCTGCTGTAAAGGGAAAGGCTGAATACAGACTCAAGGCAAATTGTGACCGTGAAAGGATCCAGTTCTGCTTCCAAAGTTTCTCCTGAAAACTGGAAAGCTGAGCCACTAACAGAGCTAGCAGGAGTTGTCAAAACTCCCAAGGATTTATTCAGTTGATGTGAGAGAGTGGGACTGTATAACAAGCGGACAGACTGCACTGTGGGTGTGGCAGAGGCAGAAAGTGGGAAACAAAGGAGGAACAGGGCTTGGTGACTCAGTGTGGACTGACAGACAGATCGGAACAAGCCTATATGAAATGCATTATTAATGGTTGAACAGAACATGCTCATATGTGAATAAGTAATAATTGCCTGAAAAACTTTCCAATTTGACTAGCTCCCATTAATTCAGACGAGAGAGACAGAGAAGAGAGAAGGGGAAAGTGACTGGAACTATTGGAAAACCCTTCACATACCAGGGTAAATCTGTAAGTATAAGATCATTTTACACAAAAGTTACAACAATGCAAAGTTATTTTTGCAAAAACAGAATGTAATAATTCTAACTGCAAGTTGTAAATGCATTTACAAAGTCCTTCACTAAGACAGGAGTCTTAAAGCACGCTTTCGTCTAGGGTAGTGGGGTGCCAAAGAGGGAACATAAAAAGATATTTTATGGCTTCCTGATTATAAATAGCATTTACGTTAGCAGTATGAGGTAATGCTGGAAAATCTGTTACAATTTACATCTGCAAACATTTGAAAAAAATAGTTAATTTTTAATACAAGGATTGGGATAATCAAATTTTCCAGTAGTAGCACTTATAACAGTCGAGTGCTGTCAGTCGCATTTAATTTAACGGTTACTGGGCTCTAGAAGGAATAATTTGCCTCATCCAGAACTGATGTTGCTGGGTATCTTTCATAAGTCTGACTTTTTAAGAAGCTACCCGACACATTGCCTGAGATATTCTAATCTGTGCTGGTACAGGGAGGGGTATCTGGCACAAACACAGAAATAGCTGGAGAAACCTGACAGCTCTGGCAGTATCTGTGGAGAGAAAGCAAAGTCAATGTTCCGGGTTCAGTGACCCTCCTTCAGAATTGATTGTAGCTAGGAAATGGTGATGTACATGCTGAAGACGTGGTGGGGGAATAGGGTAACGGAGTAAATGATAGGTGGAGGTGGAACATTGCCTGCAATATTCCAATCTGCACTGGTACAGGGAGGGATTCCCAGCACATGGCCTGAGGTATTCCGATCCGTGCTGGTACATTGCCTGTAATATTCCAATCCATATAGATGGTGGAGATAATGGGGATATTGCACTTGAGTTTTCCCAGGAGATACCTGATGACTGAAGGAAGAAGTACTGTACTTCTGTGTGATGCCATTGACAGTCAAATTGCCGCTTATCTTGATTAGATAGATGAATGAAATGTGTGCAAACAGTAGGGGCTTTGTTGTTAAATGTGTTTAGAATTAATTGCACATGTGAAGGGTGAGTATTTATACAGGCTGGTTGTGTCAATTGCTTTGTACCATGTTGTAACTCCAATGTAAAAGGAGTCAAGAGATAAGAGGGAAGTGGAGATAACAGACTCTGAGGGACAAGGGACAGCACATCAGCTGCCTTATTCACTGAAAATATGTGAAAGTACATGTCATTTTAACATGAGCAATGGGAAGAGTTCTGGCTGCCAGATGCTGTGTGGATCAAGGAGATCCTATGTAAGCTGAATGACTGTATGTGCTTCTGACTTCAAAGAGGCCTTTAAAGGGGCAAGGTTTTCTTGTTACTTCCAGACCACCATTCTGCAGATACGTGAGAAACACAGAAACAATTTGTCATATCTCTAACTGCAGCGAGATGAAGCACCCTTCCCATCCCCCATCAAAGAAATGCACTTTGCCAAATACAACTCCTTCAAATTTGACAGAGGTGGAAGTGAGTATGTGGGGCACTCACGGATGTTAACTCTTTGGGAGCAGGGATCTTGCAACAATGTAGCTTTTGGGGAAAATTAATTGTGAGTAAAAATGTACAGATTACGTAGGAGCAGAGAAAATAGGAGCAGAGGTAAATCGTTCGACCCTTTGAGCTTGCTCTACTGTGGAATATGATCATGGCTGATCATTCAACGCAGTCCCCTGTTCCCACCTTCTCCCCATACACCTTGATCCCTTTAGCCCTGAGGACTATATCTTGCTCCACCCATTCCAGTATTGTCTGCCCTTCCCAACTGAGCTTGTCAGTTTTCAATGGGTTTTCTTAGTGGAGTGTGACATCACATAGTTACAGAATCAATTAATAGGAGTTGGAGATATATGACTGTCACTCAGTTCTCCTTCCCTAGTCAATCTAGGTTAATTTACTTAAACACTCAAAAATTGAGGACAGAAATGTTCCTTTTTAAATTCATGAGTGATCTTTTGGCAAGGTGGCCCAGTTCAGACTTATATGTTCCTCTAAATCACAGCTGTCAATCATCCTCCAAGATGTTTGTTAGGTGTTGATTTCACAAATTGACTTTCAACACATCACAACAGACAGTGGGAAATACAACTGAGTTAACTTATACATCACAGTGAGAGCTGTGCATTATTCAAATATGTATTCGCAGACTGCTATGTTCCAGCTAGCAGTGTTGTTGTCCATATATGCAGTCTTTTCTCAAGCCATCCAAGCCTTAGGGAGCTCGGGGCCTCTCCTGTCATCTTGAAGACTCTGTGATATATTCCTTACAATTTGGAAGAATAAATGATAAGGCCAAGTGTCAGTGAATATTTAGATCTTTCAGTTCAGATCACAGAATTGTTATTGTGCAAAGGAGCCATCCGACCCATTGTGCCCTACGTCAGTTCTTTCACCTCATTCCAATCTCCTGCCTCTTCCCCATATCCCTGCACACTATTTCTGCAATCATCCCTCTTGAATGCCTCAATAGTGCCTGCCTTCACCACATTCCCAGATAATTTTGAAAATATATTCTGTCATATTACAGTATTCTCTGGGGGAAAATCTTCTAGGAAATGAATTAACCCAGCACTTGTTAAAGGGAAGAGTCAAAGAAAAGCAGTTATCTCAGTTATTACAGCAGTGGCCCAGCAAAAAAGCCAAAGACAGAATCAGGTCAGTAAACACAGACCTCCTGGGCCATGTACCAAAGGTGAATTCAACACAGCCGGCAGAGAACCACAGCTCATCCCCACCCTGGAGATATCACAAGTACTGGTGCTGATGTGGTCAGAGCCTGTGGTCTATTTAAACTAAAGAGGCAGACAGATGTTGAAAGTGGTATTGGGCACAACATGAGCGAGGATCAGCAGGGGGGTGGGGTGAGAGTACGGCGATATTGAGCCTATCATTTAGGCTGCCCAACACCACCAAAGCTACTCGTGAACTCATTTTATAGAAGATTCATTACAGAGACCCAACTTCAAAATTCAGACTTTGTGATCTTCTTATGGTCTTGCAGGAGGAAGTCAAACTTAGCTGCAACTTTGTTTTTTTCCCCTCGTTTATGCCTTTCACCTTCAAGGGTCAAACTGATCCCCTGCCATCCCTGGTGGAAATTCCAGTCTTTACACCTCCACCATTTGGATCCCTCGCTCCTCACTGGCCAAACTCTTCCACAAAGCCCAACCTCTCTGAGGTAGGTCGATTCTGTTTGCCCCTGCTACCCACCCCACCTATCTCACTGTCATAGACATCAACCTGTCCTTCAGCCACCACCAGCAAAGAATTAGGAGCAGGAGCAGGCCATTCAACCCCTGTAGCCTGCTGTGCCATTCAATTAGATCAAGGCTAATCCAATCGTTGTCTCAGCTCCACTTTCCTATCTACACCTTCACTTTCCGCCCACCAAAAATCATCCTCATGCAGCCTTGAATATATTCAATGATCCAGCCTCCATTGCTGTCTGGGACAGAGAATTCCAAGATCTTATGACCCTTTGAGACAGGCAATTCATTCCCATCTCCATCTTAAATGGGAGAAACCATATTTAAACTGTGTCAACAAATTCTAGAGCTCCCAATAAGAGGAAGGATGCTCTCCATATCCACCCTGTTAAGCTACCATAGGATCTTGTATGTTTCAATAATTGTTCATTCTTCTAAACTCCAATGAGGACAGGAGTAGGAGATATGTGACTGTCAGAACTCAGTTCTCCTTACCTAGTTAATCTACCACATTTTTTGTGATTCTAATCTATTCAACCTCTCCTGAAAAGACAAATTCCCCCATCCCCAGGAGTGTCCTAGATGAACCTTTTCTGAAATGCATTTAATTGAAGTGCATCTGTCCTTGAGTAAAGCAATTAAGACAGTACACAGTATACTGGTGCAATCTCACCAAGACACAGTACAGGATGAATCAATTTTTATAGTCCATCCCCTTGGAGTATGGGCAAACTTTGTATTCTGTTTTTTGTCTTCTTGTGGCTGGGCTGACTCCAAACTATAACACAAACAAATTTTAAACAAGGTCTCACACCTAACATACATTGTCTGACCTAAAATGTCACCCCTTCTTTACACTGATAAAACCTTTAGTTCTCTCAGGACTGTGAATTGAAAGGAATTTGGGGATTTACATATACATATTAATCAATTAAAACCTTCTAACTGATTAAAGATTTAACAGCATCTTAGGTTTGTTTAGTACATCCTCATCAATGATGTGAGCCTTTGATCTTTTACTTATAAATTCTGTGTCTGATACTACCTATCTCACTAACACCTGAAGAAGGACTGAGGCCCCAGAAGCTTAAACCTTTAGGACTATAACCTGATGTCATGTGATTTCTGACTATGTTAAATACCAAAAGCTGTAGTGATAACAAGGTATGGAGCTGGATGAATACAGCAGGCCAGGCAGCATCAGAGGAGCATGAAAGCTGACATTTTGGGCCTGGACCCTCCTTCAGAAGAATGTTGCCTGGCCTGCTGTGTTCATCCAGCTCCACACTATTGTTATCTCAGACTCCAGCATTGGCAGTTCCTACTATCTAAAAGATGTGGTGAGTCTGTTTGAATCTTTCAGTCCTGCATTGCCCCATGTCCAGTTCCTATATTATGGATGTTAACTTAAACATTTCCTCATGCATACCTATTAGAGGCAAAAGCTTATACCACCTTCATCAAAACGTCATGATTCAGGCTTTACACTCTGTCTTCACAATCTCAGTTAGCACTGTTGCATTATTGAAGAAATGTTTTTCAGTTGAGACCTTAGGCTAAGAACTCCCAAAGCAAAACAGCGCAGAGAGATACATATATCTGTGCTTTCTGATAACTTCTATTGATAAGCGAGGTAGTTATTTTCTTGAACCATCCTATCAAAACTCCTCACATTTTTGGATATCCCTGTTAACTCTCAACAGAACAATCCAGCTTTTCTCATCAAATTACTTGGAGGCAAGATTGGGGCGGCTGAGAAACTAGTCAAGAACCGCACCCCTCCCAAGTTCTGTACTGTCCTTT